GATGCCCCTGGGACTGATTGGCATTTTGGCCCAAAGTGAGTTGCACAGGACAAGGGAATGTGACACAGCTCGTGTGTGCTTGATGGATTTCCTGCTGTTTCTCGCCAGGACCTGTAGGAAGTGCGTACTGTGAGGTTTCAGTTTGGGGAAGATGGATTGGCCCATTCTTTCTCCCCCAGGCAGCCTGGCCTTTTCAGTCTGCCTGCCTGAGGCTTTCTTCTTTCATTTTCCCAATCCCTCCTCTGAAGCTTCCCCTAAGCAGAGGTGCTATTTTCCCTCTTGGTCTGCAGTGGTCTAAATATATCTGTATAAAGCTGTGTTAACAAGACACAGACTGTCAAAGCTGCAAGGGCCACCCGGGAGGGGACGAGCCTTGTCAGAGCCAGGTGTGCTCATGGCAGATTGGCCATATGAACCCAGTCTTTGTACAGAAATATCTTTGGAGTCAGTGACCACCTGATCTCTGTGGCTTTATACCTCGGCTGGGTCATGAGATGGGCAGGGTCCGTGAAGGTCCTTTGTAAATGGCCGAGATACATAAAAGGTTGGTTATTGCTAACCATGCTCAGGGCCCAGCACTCCTTCAGTCCACTGAGGGATGGATCACCCCGTGGCAGTATCGCTTTGAGGATGGCAACTTGACTTGTCAATCAAGAGTTACTGCTTCCTGGGTGCCACACAGGCACCAGGGCCAATATTGACACTTCCTGAAAGCCCATTTCCACACAGGAGCCAGCAATCAGCAGCTGTTGAGAGCTTGCTATGTGCCAGCCACTGCTCTGAGCACTTTATGTATGTAAATTATTGTTTACAGTGGCCCTGAATGGTAGCATTATTACAATGCCTATTCTACAGATGAGAAACTGGCACAGAAAGGGTGGAGAACTTGCCCAAGGTCACAGAATAACGAGAACCAGAGCCTGGACGCACACCCAGGCCTCTGTGCAATGTGCGCTCCACTCCCCACACCGTTTCCCTATTAATCATTGTACTCCCGGCACTTACCAACAGAGCATTCATTTGCTCATTCATTCACCTTAGTCAGTACTTAGTACTTGCTCAAGCGTGGGCCCTGGAAAGATTCTTGGCAAATGGCAGTTGATCTAGGCCCTAACTAGCCACCCAGGCTTGGCCTGGCCTTTGGTATGCCCCAAATGTGCCCCATCAAGGTAACTTGGGCGTTACCGCTGCTGCCTCTGTCAGAGCCTGTCTTTCTCTCCCAGGTGCCAGAGACCGCCTGTGCCATACCTGTCAGGTTTATCTCCAGGAGGCTGGCTCCCTGTCTGCCCTCTGATGAACTGGCTTCGAAGAGCAGCAGTAGCTGTGCGGTTCCTTTGGCACTTGGCGCAGTTGGCCTCAGGCTGCCTGCTGTGAAACGGCACCCTTCAGGAGTCGGACAGCCCTGACGTTCAATCCAGGCTCTGATGTTTAAGTCACTGAGCGACCTTGAGCTCATCAAGCTCAGCCTCAGTTGATGCCTTTGTAAAAGTTGGTTTAAAAACAGCAAGGTGGTGAGGCCTAAGTAAGTCATGGACAACAGATCTGCACACCAGGCTGGCAAGAGGAAACACAGAATGAATGAATGGCCGCTATTCTTAGTATTGCTAATGGCCCTTCCAACTCTAACCTTCTGTGAATTTGCATTCATTTCCTGTGTCCCTTGGAAAACAGGAACCCCCTTCAAGGACCATGTCTCAGGCCTTCTTACATCCCTAACCCTTAGCTCCCTGCTCTGAATACAGACTCCCAAAAGAGTCAGCCCCTGTTCTAGCCACCCTGCCATTGTGCCTTGAGGGCCTGCCCTGGGCCAGGCCCTGCTCCAGATCCCTGCGTGTCCAGGGGGATAGAACACCACACTCCCTTTCCTTGATAGGCTCACGGTTGATAGAAGGCCATAAAAGCAAGTGAGAGCAATAGTGTGGTGGAGACACATCTGCAGGGCCACACAGGTCCTGCGGGCCCCAGCCAGGGGCCCCCAGCTGGAGAAGAGACTGGCAGGGGAGCCTGCAGTTGGTGAGTGGGAAGGGAGGGACCCCAGCCTCAGGAACAAGGGCCCTAGAGCAGAGGCTTTGTGCTCATCCCCCTACCCCTGCCCCGTGCAAATGGCCAGGATGAGCCTGTAGCTGATGCGGGGGTGGGGGGTGAGGTGCGTACTCCCTGTGCCTGACCCGGGAAATGCCCCGTTCCTGGAGATGCCGGGCTCTGTTCCTGTCTGGGCTGCAGAGGGTCTGTACTTAGGGTTGTAATTCAGGTTGATGTGTAAATGACTGGGAGGTGGGAAGGAAGGTGGAATGCCTCTAATGAGAAGCGTTTCCCGATGCAGGACTGAGATGAGAAGCCTGGCCCGAGGGCCTGGTGTCTGTGCCCCCACCAGGACCAAGACTTAGGGCTTCTCTGGGTGGGCCTCACTGAACAGAGAGGAGCCTTAGCAAAGGCTAGCAGCTCTCTTAAAGTTGGGATTCCAGGAGGGGCCACTTCCCCTTTCCTTTACCAGAAGGGCGACCAGAGTCCCAGCCTGGCCTCGGGGAAGCATGGGGCTTAAGCCGAGGGCCGAGTTCACCTCCGGAGCGAGGCTGGGTCATGGGCATCTGGAGATCTGGGGGCTGTGCCTTCGTGGTGAGATGCCTAGAGTGTAGAGGAGGGGGATGGGAGGATGGCTAATGGGAAGCAGGTGGAAGGGCTGCCTGTGTCCTAGCTAGGGGACAGGCTGGCTGAGATGGCCCAGTCAGTGGGAGAACCCGTCAGCACACAGATAATCCAGGGGAGCAGGCTCCGGGATACCCATTCATATTCATTATGTGTGAAGCTGGCGGTTGTAAAGTTAGCTTTCCCTTCATTTAGCTGTCACTGGACAGAAAAATATGAGCTGTGGGCAGATGCCCCTGGATGGGAGCCAGTAGCTGGTCTCCGGCCTCCCTGTGCCCTCCCCTGCCGGCCCCTCCTGGCCTCTGCCCGCCTCCCACTCCAGCGGCAGTGATCTCTGGCTCAGCCTTACTTTCTTCTCTTGTCTGTCTCGTTCCCACTTCTGCTTCCTCTGCTTTCCCAGGTCCTTCCTCTTCCATCTTTTTCTAAGCTGTGCTTGACCACTGCTCTACCTCTGGCACCCAGCACAGTGCCTGGCACAGAGTGGGCCCTCAGTCAACATTAGAACAAACTACTCTCTGTATCTCTCTGACCTGGTGGGACAAAAGCCCATCACTTTGCGGGCCTCTCCTCATGTGAGGAAACTTCAGGTGCGGTGGGCTTAGCCTTGGACTTAGAGAGGTGGGTTTGTGCCCCAGGCTGTCACTGACCAGCCAGGTGGAGGTGGCTGGGTGCCTCTCCCTTCCGCTCAGACTCTTCCCTTCCTGATGGACACAGGGCTCACCTGGAGCTCAGAGCTGGTGTCAGCGCTAAGAAATCGCCGGAAGCCAGGCCCTGAATGAAGGGAAGGGAAGGAAAGGGGAGGAAGACACTGGTTTCCTCTGAGGGACACTCGCGCCTAGTCCCAGTGCCTGTCTTGGCCGGAAGATCCATCTGATGGGGGACTTGCTCCCCTTTGGGAATAAGACTGGTACCAGTGTCTGTGTGGTTGGCTTTCTCTGTGCCCGGGAGGGAGGCGCCTGGGGGTGGCGGGGCTGCTAGCGGAGGCTGAGCTCTGAGCAATGTGCTGGTATTTACT